CAAAGCTGAAAGGAAAAATGAATTTTAGCACTATATGGTATTAAGTACTGAGGAAATAGTAATTAATGGCTTTCAAGGAATGCTAACATTGTGGCAAACATGCTTCAGGAAACATGAAGTATAAGATTACTAACACAGACAAGGTACTTTTTTGATATTTACTCTTTTAGGATCATAAACTTTGAGAATGATTTAGGCTGATGAGACCTCTGAAGGTGAGCTGGTACAACCTTTCACTGAAAGCAAAGCTAACTTAAAAATAAATTCCAACTGTGAATTTGGACTAGGTTTCAGTAGGCCTTTGAATTCTACAGAATTCACAGAATCACCAGGTTGGAAGAGACCTTCAAGATCATCGAATCCAGCCCATGCCCTTAACACCTCAACTAGACCATGGCACTGAGTGCCACATTCAGGCTTTTTTTAAACACATCTAGGGATGGTGACTGTTCCACCACCTCCCCAGGCAGAACATTCCAGTACTTTATCACTCTTTCCATGAAAAAAAAAATTTAATAACCAACCTATATTTCCTTTGGCACAGTTTAAGACTGTGTCCTCTCTTTCTGTCAGCTGCTGCCTGGACAAAGAGACCAACCCCCACCTGACCACAGCCACCTTTCAGAGAGTTGTAGAGAGTGATAAAGTCACCCCTGAGTCTCCTTTTCTCCAGGCTAAACAATCCCAGCTCCCTCAGCTGTTCCTCACAGGGTTTGTGTTCCCAGCCCCTCACCAGCCTCGTTGCCTCTTCTGGACGTGTTCAAGCGTCTCAAGGTCCTTCCCAAACTGAGGGACCAGAACTGGACACAGCACTGGACACACCTCAAATGACAACTCCACAACCTCTCTGGGCAGCCTGCTCTCTTTCTTCCTTAGTTCCAGTTGGAGCTTCCATTGCCATACCTATGCTGACAGGCCGTTTTTGAGGCAATGTCAAGGTCCATTTTCTGCAGAATTCCCATTAGCTAACCTTTAGGTTCCTTCTTCAGCCCAAATCCATCTCTCTCAGCTTCTTCCTCTGCACCAGGTACTGCAGACCCTTGGACAATTTAGTGGCTCTGCACTGGGCCTCAGAGTATTTATTATACTGAGGAGATCAAATTTGGGCAGCGTACTGATGCAGATGTTTACTGCACAGCTGGTTTCTACTGCCAGGGCACACTGCTAACTGCGTGTCCTCCACCACAACTCCCAGGTCCTTTCCTGCCCTTTGCGGCAGCCTGTCCCAGCCTGAGCTTGGGGATTATTCCATTCAAAATGCAGGACTTTGCATCTGCCTTCAGTCAAACTTGTGATGCTCCTTTTATTCCACAATATTTGTTTTCCACAGCACTAATTATTTTCAAAGAAATTCCACAGCTAGGTGTCAACATAAATAAATCAGTCATGCAGAGTAGGATACAGACAGACACCTATATTAAAGAAATTTTCTATGAAGAGCAGTCCTAGATAAATGGCAAATATTATCAGCTGAAATGATTGTGCACTCTACATTAAGAACCAAACACTTAACTAAAAAGCAGTGTCTTAAGATACAGGAAGATAATTACTTGTGATATATCCCCCAATGTAAAATCTGACTTTACACAGCATCCTGATGGACAAATTGCATAGAAACACATATATGGCTGGAGAGAAAACCACCAGGAAATGTACAACAATAGAAAAAGATCTATGAAAAGAAGCCTGTCAGTGTTTTGACTCAAATCCAGTCACTGCTGCATGACTTACGAAAGAGGATGTACAGCAATCACAGATAAAATATACATTATGAGGAACCACCAATGCAAGCAGCTTACCGTAAATCGGGGAGTCAGTTTTTTTATGTCCTCCAGAGAGACATCAACCCCCATTACTCCAAGAATCAGCTGGTTCTGGTAGAATTCCAAAATGTTAGTATGTATTTCACATATTTACAATGTAGAATAACAGTGTCAGTAAATTCATATTTTTGCCTTTATCTCTTGTTTGACAGACACCTTTTGAGAAGTTGCCTATTTAGTTACATGTCTATTCTGAATATTTTAAATAATGTCAATGTGATCTAAAATTAAATTTAATAAAGTTAGAATTTAGTATAGAATATGAAAATTATTTCTGAAGATGGATACTTTCTGGCATGAATAAACAATATATGTGAGGACAAAGTAGGTATGTATATATACATATATATATATATAAAAATATATATATGTGTATATATATATATGTATATGTATATATGCATGTATGTATAGTATAATGATGAAATTATGAAAAATATTCCAACACAACAAAAAAACCCAGTGAGTGTAAGAATCATCAGCATTTGAAATCAGAGGCTCAGGCACTACACTTCTTTAGCTTATAATTTATTTTCCTACTACAGAAAAGGAGGGCAGCCATTTACATTGGGCCACCTGAATCCCTTCTCCACATTAAATAAATTTATAAAATTTACTGGAGAAGGTATCTTGCAGCCTGTAAAAAAATTCTGGTGGAGGTACAAATTGAGCAGATTCGAGTTCTCTTGCTCCTGTGTACTGGATCACGTCTGTTTTACTTCTCAGAAAGACATCCTCTGATTATCAGTAGTCTGTCACTTTGAAACAGGCTCGGACAATTCCAGGCATTGTCTTGTAGATAAGATATGCAACTTTTTTCTTTTATTGTTTTGTTTTTAAAGGGAAACTAAGAGAACTATTCTGAAGGTAAACTAAAGAATGCAGTGGTCAAACCCTCATTGGTTCATTCTACGTAACAGCTGAGAAACTGAATTAAAGAATATTTTGTCTAAATTGTCTAAATTTCTGTATATTCTGACCTGGAGTACACCAAAAGTACAATATTTTACCATACATTGATCAAGCATATTCCAGGTCTGTTTTTTGTTTTGTGGACACAGATTCCATGTCAGACAGTAACAGGGATGGGAAATTTTACTTATTAAACACTAAGAATTTAATCTAAGTATACAGTGCTCTTTTCTATGATCATTACAACCAACTAATTTATATTCTCTACATCACTGCCTTTTACCCTGAAATGTTATAGCCTCAGAGATTTGCTAGGAATTTTTCTGGACATTATTTCTTGGAAAGGTCTAAATAATATTATCATCTACTTCCCATGTATTGAGCACTTCATGCACTTCCAGTGCCACTAAGGCACAGGGATTGATGATGGAATGTCACACGCTGAAACTCAGAATGACAAAAAGGGTAAAAGAATGCACTGTATTTTATTGTTCTCAGGAGGTTATCAGGTAAGTAGATATGACCGCTTTCCTTCTCATGTACAAGACAATTACACTACAAATATTCTATGGAAATGCGTATTTTTCAAGACATTTAACATTAAATTTAATTCATATGCTGGTGCTTTTTTTTTTGTTTTCCCTTGAAGGAACAACTTACAATTTTCCCATTTTGTTCCCTTGTTAGATTGAAGACTGGCAGGGTTCCTGTAATCACAAGGCCCAGCTCCTAGAAAATAACCAACAAAGAAGGGAGAAAACGACTTTTTAGTTAAAAAGCAAATTTTAAGACATAATACACCAGAACAATTGAAGAATGCATGTAGCTAAACAAGTACTTTCAGTTTTTGTAAAAAAAACGAAAAAAACTTTCAATTTTGTAAAAAGAAGAAAATAATACTACTTCACTGACTTGATGAATACAAAGGTGAAATTATGATTTTTTTGTGTCCACATTTTAGTAGGATTGATATATATTATTTTTTTGAAAAATAGATGATGGTCAACAACTTAGCATAGAGAAGTTTCAAAAACCTAAATGTTATGAAAAGATATTTGCAGTTACAGTACCCACTATTCATAAAATTATAGAAACTAGAGGGAAAGGAAAGGAAAGGAAAGGAAAGGAAAGGAAAGGAAAGGAAAGGAAAGGAAAGGAAAGGAAAGGAAAGGAAAGGAAAGGAAAGGAAAGGAAAGGAAAGGAAATCCAAATCAAGCTTAAAAATAGTAAATTTCATTTCGGAGTGATGGCATTTCTGCTCCTAAGGCACCTTCAGTGTGATGGAGCCCTGCTTTCCTGGAGATGGCTGAACTCCTGCCTGCCCTGAAGTAAATTAATTCCTTGTTTTGCTTTGTTTGTGTGCACAGCTTTTGTTTTCCTATACAACTGCCTTTGGCTCAACCCACAAGTTTTCCAGGTTTTACCCTTTGATTGTCTCCCCTGTCCCACTAGTGGGGGGGTGAGTGAGGGGCTGCATTGGGTTTGGTTGATGGGTGGGGTTAGACCACGACAGGCAGGTAAAACAGGTAAAACACACAGGCAAAACCAACAGAAAAATACAACAGATAATTCCTCTGCTTTTTCTGTCATCACTACTTTTGAGTGATGTGCAATAATGTCCACCATTGGCTTGGCAAAATCACAGACTCTCCTGGTACTCAGGCAGCTGAGGCAAGGAATTTCCATTTATTTGGGAAGATATAAGAAATATGTTTTTCCTTAAGTAGCCTTCACAAATCATACTGAAAATAGGATCCAGAATAACATATGTTCAGACAGCCAGGAAAGTTTTGTTTTCCATTCCAAATTATCCATAGGGAGATTTCTACCTTTTTATATGTGATTGCTTGACTTCAATTTCAAATTTTTCCCATACATTTATGTTTACTCTCCTTGTATCTAGTTTATTGAGAAGTCATATCCCTTTTCTCCTTATGTTTCATTTGGAAAAAAAAAAAAAAAAAAAAAAAAAGCTAGAACAGTATATGAATCCAGTCTGGTGCAATCTGTTCTCTATTTTCCCAGTCTAGTAGCGCCTTTTTGAATTTTAAACTATCTTTCATGAACTTACATTTGTGTAAAAATGAAAGGTGATGAGGTCAGGGTTAGTAAAGTTACAAGCAAAGTGAAGTGGATTTTGTAGGAAAATAAGAGAAATAAAGATGAATCAGTAGAAAGGACATTTTTTTTCTAAATTGATTGAAAAGATACATAATGAAACAGTATGGGGCACAACACAATCTCCCCACTAAAAAAAAAAAAGTACAGTTAGAGAGGATAACAATTAAGAATAAATATTGCCTAACTGATAAACCTAAAAGTACCTAAAAATTCAGAGATTTTCTTGAAAATGAAATAAGCAAAAAGAAAAGATGTGTGAATTGTTACAAATACATCAAATTATTAAAGACAGTCCTGAAAGCCAAGCTGAAATGAAAGTACCTCTTCAGAATTTTATAACCTGAATTTATGCACTAATATGGCCTCATGTACTACACTGCATTACCTCAATCTTAGCCACAAAACAGCCACTGGACAGTAGGAGCCAAATGATAGGAATGAGTCCAGTAAGCCACAAGCAGGAGAACTGTAAGCCCTACACGAGGGAATTATTTTAGGGAATTTAAGATAATAAACCAATGTGACAACTTAGACATGCTCCCTTATACAACCAAGAATCAGGAAAAGGCTTCAGAGGGAGTTAGATACACCTATGCTTTTATGGTCTCAAGTGTGATGAGAAAGTCCACAAATCTGAGCCTTTGCCTCAGTACTTTACCTTGTATTGCCCTACTTTTTTTACATATAATTATGCATATATGTATATATCTACTTAGAATATAGAAGTTTCAAAAACCTTTGTGTGTGTTATACAGACATATGTATATAATTATATACTCACAAACACACATAAGTAACACATGAATGCAGAAAACCTTGAAGGAAAGACTGAATGTACCTACTGAGTGTATAAAGTAACACAAGAGATGCCTGCAGGTGTCTTTTATTTTACTTGACTAAACAGATCTCTATTTCTAATTAGAAATCTATCTTTGGCTTTACAACAGGATATGTACAGAGCATAAGAACTTTTGTCATCACATCCTTTATGTTTCCAGTAAGTACCTCAAAAATAACAAACAAAACATGGTTAATGAACTTCTGGACATTGAAATTTCAAAGAAAAACTAGTTCTTCTGTGTCATGCTCAGTTATATTGACAGTAAAAATTGTGTGTTGATAAAAATTCTACAGAAATGCAGACTGAGGGGAAGATGTGCATTTTGTCATGACTTTAGATGACTACGTGAACTTGGATAAATACGTGATTCCAAATGACCATTTGGAAGTAATTTTTGCCCTGTTGCTCAGAAGTGTGTTATTCAGAGCAAGAGATTAGATTTCTGCTAACAATACTTTTCCTCCTGTAGCTTCCTGAGTATGTTTGTTTTACAAGACCAATATGATAAATTCAGCAGTAAGAAAGTTTTTCATGTATCTTTTTGTTTATTTACCCATTATTTACATTGTCCAATTAAAGGACAGTTAAAGAAATTATCACCTTGAGCAATCAAGCAATTACAACCACCCAAGTGCAAAATTTGTGCAAATACTTAGTAACACAGATAGATTTCATTCTGTCTGGAATGTTCTTTGGAACAAAAAAAAAAAAAAAAAGGAGAAAACTAAGAATTCTAAGAATTCCTCACCAGAAACGTAAAAAATGACCTTTACTGCAGTAGGTACAACACTGGAAAACTATTCACTTCTTTTTCTTTGTTCTTAAGCTGAGAACAGCAGTGGCCCACGCTCTGAAGTCTGCAGAGAATAAACTGTTTTTCTCTGTTAAATTTCAAGACACTTAGAAGGATACTAGGTGCAAGTAAGATCAGCACATTATAAATAAATCTCTTCATAGATGTTGTTGTACTGATGTGTTTAGATGTTAGAAACACAAGAATATCATGTTTGGAAGTGTAAGAAATTGGATTCTTGGGAAAGCAAACCCATACAGTTACTTATTTTCTAAAATTCTTACTTCAGTAGAGATAAACACAGATCATACCAGAGCATCCAGATAGACATTTGTCCATTGAACTTGTTTGGCTTGCTCTCCAGCTAAAACCATTGGTCTTCCCAAAACATCCAGATATTCCTGCCAAAAAGTGTAATAAACTTGTCAAAAGGCAATTATTAGATCAAAGAGCACAAACAATATTAAAATAAACAATAATTAAATAATAAAAATTAAAATATCAAGGAAAAAAGGAAATCAAAAGTAACCACTAATACAGGGAGAGAATTTATTTCCTTAAAAATTGTACCACAAAATAATTCAGTCTTCAGTTTGCAGTATTTACTGAAAAGGTAATTCTTGTATTTCGCTCCCAGTCACACAGACCTTACACACTCATAACCACCACACTCCTTCCACAAAACAGGACTTACAACTATTTTTAATCCAAAATTAATTGCTAATGACATCAAGAAATTACAAGCAGATTACAGAACTTTCAACCCAGAAGAAAGAGTGGACAGTGGAGGGTGAGTGGTGTAACATCTGGGTTTGCTAAGCTCCTACAGGAACAATTTGCATAACTTCTATTAGAATAATAAAAATCAGAGTTAAAAACCCTCTTTTTCCTGCCTTCCTTCAGTTTGTGAGTATGGCTGAAGCTGGTGGTCTTATGAGATGTCAGATTTCTGGACTGATTTGGGAGTAGATGCCATCAAACTTTTTTCAGTCATCAGCTTTTTCTACTTGACTGATCTTATTAAGGATACATCTTGCCAGACAGTGTCTGGAAGAATTTAACAGAATCAAAAGGCTCTTATTCAAGCCAAGAAAGGATTCTTATTCTCTGCCAAAAAATGTCATGGCTGGCCTTGGAAGGACAAAGAACTGCAATGATATTTCTCTGCTGTTCTGGACATGTGAGTACCTGGACTTTCAGACAACTGAAAAGAATAAATGTTCTTCTACTCTGTTCTTCAGTTTGCATCTCATCATATAATCCCAGAGACCTGTGCCTTTTTTTATCTACATGCAAGTCTGCTGAAATGCTCCTGCATCCCTTCTGAAGGAAAGAAGTGAAGTCTCTTCCAAAAGTGCTGGATCAATCCAGGTACCTGTGCTATAAAGCAGGATTGAAGCAGGGCACCCACGTGAGTCCAGATGCTCTAGCAGGGCTATCCCCTCATATACATCCACAGCCTCCTCCATGTAATACAAACCCTTTGGATCATGCAGAAAGTGTGGCAGAAGGTGAACTTTAAACACACTATAAAAAATGACTGGTTTTATAGAATTTTAGAATAAAATTGCTGTCATGTCTCAGCATCAAAGCTTGAGGGACCATGTAAGGCTGGGAGGAAAACAGAGGAGAGCACAGCCCTTGTGCAGGATACAGAGCACTTCAGACACTCCATGGTGTGTACGTGATCAGCCTGCTCTGGAGGATGCTAATGTCACCAGGGTTGTGACCAGCACACAAACTGCTCTGGGCCAGCTGGCCAGGGTAAAGGGATCACGTTTTAAACTGGTTCACTGCAACCACATTAAAGAAAAAGTAGAACATTTTAAAAGAATAATCCCTTAAATGCAGAAGAAAGTCTTGATTTTTTTTCTCTTTCCTTAATGTATTGTATTTTAAAATTTAATTGATTTTAGCAGAGGTTAAGAGAAAACATGTCCAAGAACATATACTGCTTCACTTTCTGTGTGTTAAAAATGCATGTGGATTTGACCAACTCACTTACCTGGGTGTTTATTCTTATGGCTCCAATAGATGGGATTTCATAATAATAACCTAAAATTTGAAACAGAAATAATGTTGTTTTACTGTAATAGATGGCTAGCCTCTTAATCTTGAGGAATTTCATTCAGTTTATAATTTCTAGTCTAAATTTTATTAGAATTATTGTTTATGAATTAGATACTTTTTAGTAGATGTCACCACAATGCATGGCCATAGGTTGGGTCACCGTGCCGCTCAGACCAAGGCAGTTACTCTTAAACAGTGACAATTATCATTTGTTTCTTTTGGCTGTTTTGCTAAAGGCTGTATCATATACTGAGTTTGTACTCATGAAATCCCAGTTACTATGATGTGCAAGTACATTTAATGCTTATTTTAATATGCTGTGACAGCAACACAATTATATGCTAAATGCATATAGAATAGCTATGGTCTGCTATAAGAGTGAATTCATGGTACAAAAACATAAGTTAGTTTTTGAAATGAAAAAAAGCTAATGGGTATTTCTCCTACACAGGGAACATACATCAGAAATGTCTTTATTTAGCACTGATTTTATTGCTCATTCATTTGAATTAAAAATATTTTCAATACTGCTCATATAATAAGACTCAAGCCAGGCACTGAGATCCATCTTCAGTAGTTTTCTTAAAAGAAAATTTTAAGTCAGATTGGAAGGAAGAGACAGAGGATTAGAGAGATAAAAGTATTGATATATGTAATTTCCTTTGTTGCATGCAAAATCTTTTAATTTAGGAAAACGAAATTAGGCTGCTTCTTTGGATGTGCAAACAAATAATCACAGGAATTTTGGACAGATTATGATCATTTTGTCTCAATAATAAGATGACATAGGTGGCTATGCTTTAAACCAGCTGGTCCTCATTTGTTTTAAAACAATGGAGGTCACATGCACACAGTATTCTGATATACAAAGATGTTAGTAAAAAAATAAAATAAATCTGTTCAAAGCACAAATGTCACACAAATTTTCTGTTATTATCTGACAATACAATTTGCTCTTCATGAAGTTGTGGTATCTTCTGCATGACTTGCCAGCATGCCAAGGGTTTCATGAGGTTATGATGCTTATGTATGCTATTCATCCAGGCTATGGATTCTTCTAGTATTTCTTTTTCCCTCTATCTATGCCTTTCTCTTATCTTTGCTTTATGTTACTCTTCTGCCTGTCTATATCTCCTTCCCTGGCATCCTAATTTTCAAGACTCTGTAATCAGCTCACCTCTCACCTCTTGCTTTTCACTCATTTGTAAAATAGTTTTACATTTTCAGTCAGGCCTGGAAATTTCTCTATTTAAAATATAAGCAAATGTTTGTTAAATTATTTATTTTCTACTTATCTCTATTATTTTCTATTATTTCTTTCATATTTTATGCTCTATCTCTCTGTCTGCTACCTTGTTGTACAGTTACATTAAAATATATTTGGGACTCCTCTTTCTCACACTTAAAATGCTTCTGAGTGTATTTTTCATGTAAAAATTTCAGGTAGGCAAGATCTTACTTCCTTACTTTCACCTTTTTTATTTTTTCTTTCTGTCCTACAAAAGAAAACAGGATAAAAATAAAAAATACAAAATGCTCTCAGAAACTAAGACATCAGAGCAATAATTTTGATATTTTCATTTAAAAAGGGAAAAAAAAATCTGAATATCTGATCCTTTGTAAATTTTGGAGAAAAACAGAAAGAAATGTAACCAGCTAACTAACCAAACAAAAATCCCTTTGTCCAGACTGCTTAATTTAAAACAGCTTTGCCTAATTTCTTATCTGTCATCAGTTCCAACTTTACATAGATGGCTATTACAACAAATATTCTCAAAAACTGAACCATAATGGCTTATTATTATAAAAACTACTGTGGTAGTTTTCATGCAATATAAAGTTTTAAATAAAGTAATAAAGAAATAAATATACCAGTTTCTTGTTTGCATGTGATTATTTTCATTTTTATATTACATAATAAATTATCTTTTGGAACTCTTGGTAACAAATGCTATAAAGCTAAAAACCAAGCTGAAAAATCTGCCATTTTTACAGAACAACAAAGATATCACTTATCCAAAGCTCTATTAAAGATCAGTTTAAAAGAAAGACACAGTACCTTTATTTTCACAGGCCATCCACTGTATGGGTCCTTTGTCATAATTATGTTGGCCAACAGAAAATGTGAACACACGTACCTGTGCAAGATAAAAACCAATGCATATATAAAAACCAGCAACTATATATCATTTATTAGTTTTCACCCTCAAGTCAACAATACCTGGATTGTTCATAAAGTTGAATAGAAAAGGAATATTATGAATTTTCCAGTTTTTGTCACCATAATAGATATGAGAGATGTAAAAAATAATAGATTATGTTATTTTATGTACTCCTATTACTTCTCCCATGAAGTACAATCAAGAAGAATGCTCTTTTACACAGCCTTGGTACTTTAAAAGTCTTACATTGGATCATGAACTATTTAAATTTTTAGTTTTTTTATTCTTGGGTGATAATTGTAACGTCAGGTTTTCCTAAATTAGTTAACAAAACACATCAATAACAATGCTTACCAATCACTTAAAAAGAATATGTGTGGCAGAATTCAAAGCAGTGTAAAACAGAACTTTTAGGATATAAAAAATGAAATTATCAGATACTACAAAAGAGAAAAAAATTCTCCTTTTGCTCACTCAGTTTTCTTTATGTAAAACTACTAAATTAGTTCAACAGACTTCCAGACAATTGTTAAGCTTCTGATCTTTCACCTTCAGTTCTTGATATTCATTTAAGTTGTGGGTTTTTTTAGCATAATTCTATTCTTTTTACACAATGCTTCTTTAATCTATCTCAGCAACTGTAAGGAGTTATGGCTTCAGAAGAATTCACTAAAATCTCTCAACGCTTTGGACTGAAAGCAGACTTTTCAGCTGAAATGATTTTCCATGCAAATTTTTCTGATTTGAATTAGAAAAAATTAAAACCAAAACCTGGTATTGCTTTAAAAATATTAAAAATCATACCAGACACACAGAAAAATTTCAAATACTATATTTCAGGTTCCAGCTGAATATTCTGCTCTAAATTTGAGTGCTTCTGTTAAAAGCTGGGAAAAATGTTTTCCCAACAGTTTTAATGAGCTGCTCACTATATTCATGTCCCTCTGCTCAAGGGTCACACAGCTTTTCCTTTTTAGGTATCTATTTCTTTATGGATCTTTAACTTTACAACTTCAATGTAAAAACCATAGATAACAACAAGATCAGAATGAAAATTCCTTTCTATGAATTTGATGTTTATAATTCAAATATACTACAATTAAATTGCATGCAGCCTGTAAGAAATGAAATGTTTTCGTTAAACAATACACTCTAAAACTGCTGACTCCTTGTAAACTACCGATCACTGCTAAGTTTTTTAATTACTATTTTTTAAAAATTTTCACTACATAATTTAGCATGTGCAATTAGTACCCAAATCTTCACTTCCCAAATAGGCAAGAAAAATTGTGTGACATAATCAGAGCTCAAGTATTAACGAAGAGCTGTAGGAATGGCCTCACATCATCCATCAGCAGGTAGCAAATGGTGAAACTTTATTAGTGTTGACCCCTGTATGCAAGAAGGGCAAACAAAGATTTTTGCTGGATGCAATTTTTAATTAACAATATGTTTTGATTTGCTTTATCCATACAAACCCTTTGTTTTTTGCAGTTAAAAGGAGAATTAAAGGAACTATTCTGCTGCACTGAGCACTGATTTAAGTGCTTGTACTCCATATAGCATCATTCCCCACTAATAAGTCAGGCCAATTACATTTCTGGTTACACAGACAGGTAAAAGAATGACTGTACCTGCATGATGGTAAATTGTTATCCTTATAGTTCATATAGATAAAGACAGATGAAAAATACCTTGAAAAATTTTACTCTGAAAATATCAGTATTGACAGTGCAAAAATGACTTTACCTGGCATGTTTGCATCTCCTTTATTAATATTGTAGCACATTTTCCATCCCCCTTTTACTCTTGACATATTTTTAAAAATGACAGCTATAATCCTCCTACTGGATCTTTCTGCTTCTACTTAATTAATATTGTTTTTTTTCTGATCTGATTATCACCATGTTATTTTATACTAGCACCTCTCAGCTCACAAGGTCCCTGCCTACCATGCTCCTGTTCTTTCTGAACTCACATTGCTCCCAGTTCATTGTCCACTAAACACTGATTCAGAATAGATTCTTCTCAAAAACTATGGAAAAACCCCACTGATGGTCACTAATGAGATACTTGAGAGTCCTGGTGTTTCTTTTTGGATTAAAAGCTACCAAGTCATGTGGGTTCTCTTGTGTGTAGAAAACACATGAGTCAATTAGACTGGACTGTCTAGCATTTGATCTCAAACATAAAAATGAAACACTGAATTGGATTCAAGTTGCGAAATGCTATGTAATTTAGGGAAAAGCAGCAGTGTGTAAAATCTGCAACAAATCTATAAAGAATTTAGAATTTAAATTATTGACAACAAGCAGGAGACAATATATCTGATTTACTGTTCCTTGGATAATTAACAGAGATAAAGAACTGCAATGAAAATTGGAGTTTTTAATTGTTACTTGGTTTGGCAAGAGGGTGGGATATTCAAAAGAGTATTCTTTTTCCTATTGCCTCATCTGGAATTGAGTAGAATGACAGACCAGCTGGAAAAATGAGTCAGCAAGTCAAATTAAACAAGCCAATTTTAGCAAAAAAAAAACAAAACAAAAAAACCCCAAAAAAACCTCTGTGCTGAAATTTTCTGTGACAGGACCCAGAGTCAGCCAAAGTACTGAGATGTATTTCTCTATATGCTTTCCTTATAGACATCTCTCCAAAGAAGACAATAGGCTATTGAATTTAAAAAAAGAAAAGAAAAAAAACCACCAAACATTTAATTACTTTTAACAGGGAATTTATGACTCAGAATACTTTAAGCAACTAGATCAGGCACAGTGGGTATGAGTACCTCTCTCTGCCTGTCCTTTAAGCTTGGTTTTAACCAATTAAGTAGGTTTCTGAAACGAAACAAACTGCCAAGTAGACTTTGATCCCCAGAAGTTGTTTCCCATCACCACTGAGGCCTGATAATTCCTTCTCTCTGCCTCTCTGCAGCCTCTTGGGTTCTGTATAAACTGCAGCTCCTGGGTGGTTTTGCCACGACAGTTTCTCTCCACCACCCTCACTAGAGGATGGACATTTGTGTTCCCCAACCCATTTCCTGAGGAAAGGGCAGCCTTGCCTCAAGGCAGACCTATTTATTCTCTTCATAAAGAAATGCAACTTCCAAAGCCATAAAAACGAACGGAAAAATAAGATAAACAAATAGGAGCTGTCATGCTCTCTGATTTTCAATAGAACCATGCAAAATACTTCTACAAAACTTGTACCCTTAGAGCTGAGAACTAGAGATGGGCACCAGCCTGCCCTGCCAGCCCATCCAGACACTGTCTTGAAATTGTTCTGAAATATAAAAATCCTATTTTCCAGCTAGAGTTCAAAACAAATTTGCTGCATTTTCCTTACTGAAACTAACCTTAGGGAGAAAAAAAAAAAAAATTCTTTTTTATAACAATTTACAGTATCTAGTAGAGGAATGTACTAATTAGCAGCAAAACTGAGTGGCACAGGCTGCCCAGCAAGGTTGTAAATCTTCCTCCTTGGAGGTTTTAAACACCAGACTGGATATGCCCTGAGCAACCTGGCCTGATATTAGACATGATATTGAAGTAGACACCTCTGCAAGTCACTTGCAACCTGGCTTATCCTAGGAACCTACGAAGGGCATCAAAGGAATACATGCAAAAAAACCAACTCCTAATCAGAGCAAATGATAGACAGAAATGAATGCTACAAAAATGAGGAAGAAGTGCTTTATTGAAGAAAATATAATTGTCTAATTATAAAATTAATTTGCTATTTATTTGTATTTCTTTCTAGTGGAAGAATATCATAACTACCAAGGTGAGTAAAAAAGATTTTGACTACTACAGATTTTAAGGGACAATGGTACTCAAGGGACTCATAATGAAGACAAAAATGAAGAGGTCCCTATGAAAAGGCTGTTTTCCCTAGAGATTCTGTTTGCTTTTTACATATTTTATTTCTTCATTTTGTTATCGGAATAAAATTAAGTAAGACTAAATTAGATGCTTCCTTTGGGTATAACATGTTTTGAGTATTACAAAAAATTAAGGCTTGTCTGAAGTTAATTCAAAGGGGTAATTAAACACAAAGAACTTGCTGTTTAGGCTACTGCCTATATGTGTAGGCAATGTGGAATGTGCTACTGGAATGAGAGAGCTCTCAATAATAATTTCTGTGCATCTCTTCATTTCTCTGTTTAGGAAAAGACTAAGACTTTTGGAGATATATGTCTATTTTACCAGATACCAAGAGAGTGATACAATGAATTCACTCAATTGGATGCAGGCAAGATGAATCCTGTCATTTTATGCCTAGGATATAAAAAAACAAAGAGGGCATCTTTCTCTTCTACAAAATACAAACTGACTATGACCAAAAACTGAGCACATCAAATCATTCAAATTTGGTTTTCATGATGACAGTAACATTTCAGAACATTTTACTATGGCCTTTACAGCTGCAGGTAAAGACTCCTGGTTAATCTTTTTTACTATACAACAAAGAAAAATAGCTGTGGTGAAGTGGAATAAATAATTTAGTAATTCCAGCATGACCCAGGAAATTATCTTTCCCAGTAATTGGTTTACAGATTATCAGATATGTGGAAAAATTGTTTGTAGTTTATATTTAATAGGTACACATCTGAAATAAAAGCACAATATAAGAAGCCTATCATTCTGAATAAAATCACAAAACCACTCTTCTATTTTCCATTTTGCATTCTGTCTTCTAAATCCCTTGTAAGTATAGCCTGTAAATCACTTAATCATTTTTGTGTTTTGTGCCATAGGCCAGAGAGATGTTATGTGGTTTTCAAGCTGCTCCAGCTAAAACACTGAATGCATTTTTTTCCTTACATTTTTACATCTGTGGACAGAAAATTGAAGATGATTTTGGATTGTGCTGTGAGTTAGCTGAGAACAGAGGACATTTATAACCAATTTGAACTCAGAACAGAACTTCAGAGGAGAATCTGAAAACACAATACACTAATCAGGAAACCACCTAAG